CGACCCCCGAGGGCCGGCCGCGGCACTGCGCCTGGCTCCACACCGCCCCGGCAGCTCCTCGCGGGGAACAATAGACTCGGCTCGCCGGGCTTAGGGTTCATCTGCAATGTGCCGCACATTTCACACGCACACAAAGCCGGCGGAAAGGGGGGCGGCGCGGGGAAACGGCCACTACCGGTTGTTCCGGGGTTAGGGGTGGAGGCGATGTTCGCGTCCCCGGCCCGGCTGGTGGAAGGGCCGCCACGGAGTCCCCTCCCGCTCGCCCGCCGGGTAGTCCCGGTGTGGCGCTCCGGAGGGTGAGGGAGCTCCGAGGGCAACTCCTCACGCGACGCGACACTCACAGATCAGGAGGAAGTCGATTTGTTTCCTTTCTTTTTTTAAGGTCTAAAGGAATCGGCTTTTATGAGCCTGACGCTAGTATCTTGGGGCCTGCATTTAGCACATTTTCCGTGAATTATCTATCCACGAGCTAACTTCCAACAAACTACCCATTAAATACGGCGTGAACTGCCTGTCCTAGTTCCGTGGAGGTAGAGTAATGCTCTTAATTCATCTAGCCTTTGGTCGGTTTCACGTACCCAACCGGATTATCCTATGACCAAAGTTATGCAAACAATAATTAAACAGATTGGGAAGCAATCTGTCGAACTTGGCCAATAATAATTAACGTGGATGTGTGTCTTTATACAGCCAGCTATCTTGAAGGTTGCTGCGTTTAAGAAAAATATCGAATAGGACACGTTTTTCCTTGCTTTCTCCCAAACGTCTTAAATGTGATCCTCGTTTAAAATGTTTTTGAAGGTTAAAAAAGAAACTTAACGCTTAAAATGGCACAAGTGGGAGACTCAAAACATCTCGGCAAATACTACCACCTTGATTTGCATTTACGAGGGATGCTGGAGCCGGTCCTTGGCTACAAATGTTAATTAAGCTCGCGGGACGTGGAGCGCCTTGTTGCTGTTCCCATTTCAGTGACGGCCACCACGGGCAACGTCACCGACGAGCCCAAGGTCACAGGGCAGTCAGGGTCCGGACGGGTTATTTCGGGCAGTCGATCCGAGGGGAGTATTTATCGGGTGGTGAAAGATTATGTAACATGGGCCAGCGTGCTTCCGGCGCTCACTCGAGGAAACGGACTCAATTCCCAGCTAAAGTTTGTCTCTCCGAGGGGGTCGGAAGAAGGCTGTGGCGAGGAACTTCGCGACACCCCGGGGCCAGTGAGTGTCTCGGAAGCCTGCGAGGGGCGGAGACCCGGCCCGGGGGGGTGGAGAAGCCGGGCCGCGGTGGCGGGCGACGGGTGGGGGTGGGACGAGGGGGACCCGGCCAGCCGGCCCTTCCCCCCCCGGTCCTCTTAGGGGGAGTGGAGATGTGGGCCTCGGCGCTGCGTGGCCCGGGCTGTGCGGATTCCCTAAACGCCGCACTTGCGCACAGCCCCTTACGTAACCGTCAGTGCCGGGGATTCCCTAGAGGGGGTCATTCTATTCAACCATTATACACACCCCGGGCTCCTGCCGCCGCCGCCTCACAAAATGGCGGCGCCCATAGAGGAGACAGCGGCCGCCGCCTCGGCCCCATTTTGTGGGAGGCGAGAGATCTGTCAACATGGAATACCTCCGCTGAGGCTGCGTCCGAGTTTGGGGATCCTACTTAAGGGATGGAGCCTAGGGGACCACGTTAGACGGAAAATGTCAACGACTTCCAGCAGCTCTCCGCGTTTTTACTTTTTCATTTTATGGAAGGGAGCGCCAGAAGCCGCTGGGGTAACTGTAACTAGGGGAGAAGGGAAAGCTGCGCTGACCGCTCCGGGGACCGGCCGCGGCGTCCTGGTGACTTTGGTTGCTCTTCCACGCTTCCGGCAGCTGATCGGGATCTCGCCGGAGGTCGCCCGGGCCGCCTCGGAGGCCTCGGCCGCGCCACCCGTGCAGCGAGACTTTTCGGTAGTTTTCGAATGCCGCAGTCCACGGCCCCGCCGGCACCCCTCGTCTGAGTCGCGGGCTTCGGGAGCCCCGGAGGTCCCTGCTACTGGAGCCCGGCTGCCGGGAGCGGGCTGTACGCGCGGATGCCGGCGGATCCGAGCCCGGGCTGATGGGGCAGCACCGGGAACCGAGGCGTGCACGCCGGAATTTAAGTCGTCCGAGTCGGGACTTCGGATTGTGTGTAAATGAGGCCTCAGGTGAAACGTTAGGACGCCTTTTCTAGCGTCTCAGTCTGCGGTGGGCAGACCGAGTTGCCTTTATTGCTAAACCGAAGGACTGAATGGAGGAATGACAGGTTTTTACTTTCCAAGAGGAGGTTGCCACTTTGAAGTCACTGCTGGTAATGTGTGTACATACACAAGCGTGCATATACAGTAGTGCTTTGCTTTTCAGAGCAAGTGTCAAAGGCTACCGACATGCAGTGATGCTAATATTTTAAAACCTTTTTTTAAAAAAATGTAAGGTGTGAAGCTGGAGAATTGACTTTAAACAGTTCTTTTTCTGTAGAAGAGGCTGTTATCCTCAAAATGGAGTCCTAAAGTATATCTGATGGATAGAATTTAAATTCTTCTCATTTTGTGTATGCTCTAGTCACACTAAAAGCATAAATGTCAGACTTGGTGTTGTCAGATTACTTAACATGGTTCAATTTCCCCATGATTAGAAAAATATAAAAGTAAGCTATTAACGGTATTTTCTTGTAAGAGTGTTGTAAATGTTTAAAGAAAGATGAGGTTCATCTGTTGAAACAAGCATTACACGAATAATTGATCTTAAATGTTGTTTCTCAGTTGAAGCAATCATTTGTGTTTACATGACTTTTTAACAGTGTTTAGTTTGTGTTGATTTTGACCCTCAGGTTTCCTCGCTACTGCAGAAGTGCAGCTTTCTGCAGGCTGCGCCTCATCGCTAAGTTCCACACCCCATGCCCTGCCGCACCCGGTGTCTACTCCTGGTGTGTGGGTCACCGAGATACAGTTTCTGGCCCTGTCTGTTGCTACTGATGTCCTTTGGAGTTAATAAATGTGGTTGCCACTAATCAGTCTGCAACTCTTGCAAGAACACCGTATTCAGCACCCAAGTAGAGTCAGAGAATATTTTTTTATGAGACTGCACTCCAGTAACCCTAGTGCATAGTATTACATTTCTTATTACCATATTGCATTTCCTATAGTGGGCAGCATAGAGCAGGTGGATCCTGGGAAAGTAATATTAGAGATGTGCTGACAGTTTTACAATACATTTTCTCCAACTAATCTGACAAGACATAAAATGTAGTTCATATTTTTCAGCATTAATGGAAACTGTTCCTATTTTAAAATGACCAATAACAGTGAAAACTGTTGCATTTCAATGTGTATAGTATACTGTTTTGATGAGAAATTATGACAAAGCCTTGATGGGAAAAAATTCAAAGCAATGATATGTAACTGCAAACCCTGCACAGTATAATTAGAGATTTCTGTTATTTTATCAGTCTTTGATTCTTGTCAGTTTTAATATTACTTAGTGAAGAAATTGTGATAAGTTAAAAATTCCCACATTTAACTAAACTTAAAAAAACTATCCAGTTTTAAGTCAAGCATGTCAGTTATATGATTACAGCAGCTGAAGTGACTTAATTGAGCAATTGATATGTCAACTCATTGGCTAAATTTTTGGATTTTAGGTTACTCTGAGATTTTTTTTAATGATATGGTAGGTTAAACAAGTCAATAGCCATTAAATCAATATTTCTCTAAAGATGACGCTTGAAGAAAGGTACTTTTGGTGAGATGTGAGGATGCTTTGGTGGCTGGTACTCTTGCCTGTATTTACTGCTGTACTTTTTTACGTGAGCTAATTTCTCTTATTTGAAAATCTGACTACAATAGCAAATCATAGATGATGCCTTTCTATTACGATGATTCTAAAGGGTAGGTGACTAAGCTTTTAAAAGATAAGGAAATAGTTTATTCTGTTGAGGATTAGGGTAATTTTAATGCAGATTCTCTGAATGTTGTGGACAAATTTCCGAATGAGTTGGCCCAAAAGGGTCCGTTAAACTTTTTTGGAATTTTTAAAGTTTCTTT